ACACACGCGCACACACACACACACACACACGCACACACACACACAGACACACACACATCTCCATCAAAGCCTGATTTACACTCATTAAAACACTCAGAAACAACAGTCTGCATCTATACTGAGTTCTTTACCTTGCTTTTCTTCTGCTTCAGGATCTTCTCTCAGAGACGAAGTGGAGTCCACGTTACTGTCCTGCCTGTAAATGCCAATCAACACATTATCAAAAGTTCAATCTTACGTTTAGTTTTTAATATTTAATAATCCAGAGAGTTTCGGCTTACTGGCTGTCAGTGAAGTTCTTCTCTTCAGGTGCGGCTGATAACTCTTTACCTGTACGAACAAAGAAAATAAAAAAGACTTCATCAAACACAACACAAAGACAGCAGCGGGACGGACGGTGAACAGAGAAGCAGCAGCTTTTGATGAGTTTGTTCAGATTAAAGTGGAGCTGAATTTGAGGTTTACCCTCCAGAATCTGCAGCAGATGAATCTCCGAGAGCTGCTGCATCTGATCCCAGCACAGCTTCTTGATCTCCGCGAGCGAACAGTCCTGCGAGAAACACCAGCCGTGTATGAGCTTTCTCTCCGACAGATGCTCGCTGCAGGGTTCGGGACTCTGTGTGTTCAGCTAGAAGCTCTGCTCACTCGAAACACTTTCAATGTTAACAACTTTTAAACTATTAGTGTACTGTGCATTAGTTACTCACACAACACTTAGTTAGTATATTAAGATAAACTGGGAAATGAGTGAAAGTGAAGATAATCGATCAGTAATTCAGCTCAGATTGTCCTTCCTTTTCAAAGAAAACTTGAATCTTTAATTATCAGTACAAACTAGTTTTTAAGAGAACAACACGAGCTGACTCCATAAATCGCCGTCTAACTGATAATGGCTCTGTTCTCATGATTAGTGTTTTCTTTGGTTGGACTCTTGGAGCTTCTTCCACATTAATATGTGGAATAATATAGAAAATAACATATAAGATATAATATCTCACAGCCAGCGTAACATGCGATCACAGTTATGTTGTGCTGTCAAAAGAAGAGTACAAAGAAGCCTGAATGATCACCGATTATTTTAGATAACAGGACAATACTCTGAACATCACTAAACTAACACCAGCAAACAGAAGTAGACTGTATTTCTTCCTCCAAGATCAATGTGGATGATTTGAGATCACAATAAAGGCACCTTCAGTTCCTCCGGAAGCATCTTTAGGAGTTTATTCTCTCCCAGCACATGGAAGCACTGCTCCAGCATCTCCTCGCGGTCCTGCATGTAGGAGCTGATGGGTCTGAAGGTCTTGTTCAGGTCCAGTCCTCCCTCCTCCAGATCACTGAGCTCCTGAGGAACCTCGGCCTCCTTTCATATTCAGCAGAAATCACACACACACACAGAGAGACACACACACACACACACAGACACAC